CTTGTTTTTGAGTGTTTAGGATGAAGTCCTTGGATGTGACCTAAAAGAAAGAGGAGAGGGACGTTATCTGAAACCCATGACACAAATACACTTTAGGTGGTGAACATAACGAATCATATATTAGATGGTGAACATAACAAATCGATTCACATTCAAGCTGACCGAATAACACAAATGCACTTTAGGTAGCTACTTATGCAATAGTAAGCTTTTAAAAGTCAAAAATGCAAAAGGGTTGCTGCTTTTGTCTCCAAAGGAAATGAAAGGAGGTTTTGTCATTAGAACATGAATTCAATTCAACTACTGGATATTTTGAATTTTGAGCATTTCAAACCTACCTCAAATGGAGCGAGGCCGCCAGTCTGTCCATCAAGATTCAGGGCCGATATTCCCATGACCAATCTGTATAAAGGTTCTGCGGTACAATAGGCAGCCAACAATACCAACATGTAGTTGCAATAATTTGACCTCAAACGGAACCTCTGGACTGTAAAATCTTTCTTAGTCAGCCATATTCGATATAAGCACAGGCCCATAAGAACCAAATTGGAGATGGAAACAACCAAAGTGTCTGTTGCGCATGGTGTGTAAGCTCCAAACGCATTTTCCACTACCTTTGCCCACACCCCATTCGCCACTGGCTGACAATACCAAACCAGTGGCTCAAAACCCATCTTTAAGCACTTAAGGTCTGTCTATGGTTCTATCCACTTCCACTACAAAAACATTACAGACTGTTATGCTCTCCTTTAACTCATAAGGAGTTGTAGTTCACAACTGAGAATCTGAGATCAGTCAGAAAAAGTCAATACTTTGGGAAAATGAATGAAATAAAGACAAACTTTCTTGCTCGCTTTTAATTGAAGAAATTTGATTGGGATCAAAAGGCGGGGAAATAAACCGTGACGCAGAATAGAAGGGAATCTGCATTTGATGACATCCATCTTACAATTTGAAAAAATGATACTCCCTCCGTCCCATAATATTAGGTAGCGTTTGGTAGAGTTTTGTAAATGTGATTTGAGAATATGAGTTGTATTTTGAGTTTGTGTGTTGTGGAATTATGATTTGAGTGTAGAAAATTTGTTTGGTTATAGTTTTTAAATAGAGTGTTGAAATGTGTTTTGAATATGTATTTTGAATTATGTTTTGAAAGTTTGATGTGATATGTGAAATAAGAAAATTTGTTTGGTAATGTGTTTTCAAAATAGTTTTTAAAATTTAATTCAATCAATAATTTATTTTGAGTGTACACAACTCTTATATCGATATCCGTATTTTTTATCAACAGTAATAACCAAATTATATTTAAAAACTGAAATTAAAAATTGTTTTTTTTGAATTAATTTTTTTCAGTAATTTGTGTTGTATAAATTTTTTTTTTCAAATTATTTTTCCATTTTAAAATAAATCTATGTCAATTATTTTGTATCAATTAAATTTTTATATCAATTCATTTTTTACGCCTGTACAAACATCTTGTACAATACATTTTTAATTTTTGTTTTTAAATTTTGTTGAAGTCAATAACTTTTAAAAATACATATTAATAAAAATTAACATAAATACACTAAGTTTAATAGATTAAAATACAAATCATATCGTAAACCTTATAAAATATTATCAATTTTTTTTCTCATTTATTACACGTTATTAATTTATTAGGAAATGAGTACAAATCAGACCATTATTGAAGGACCATCAGCACGCTCATATAATTGAATTCACCTATAAATTTACTATTTTGTCCCTCTCTATTTACATGGGAAGTGAACAAAATATAAAGGGTAATTTAGTAATTTCACCAACCTACCTATATACTGAGCCAAAAGAAAAGGGGAAAAGGGACATCATATAGCTGTGTATATCAATTCACTTTTCTGAAAAGCATTATTAATATTATAAAAAAATAATACATAACAAATTAAAATAAAAAATAAAAAATAAAAAACAAACCAAGCTTCAGCCTTTTATAAATTCTGAAAAACCATTCTTCTAACCATACCATCTTCACCGTCTTTGATCCTTCTGAAGGAAGATTTCAACTTCACCGTCGAGTGGTCTCAACTCCATCAAGAACATTAATTTCAATTAGAGGTTAGTTTCGTATTACCTTCGCATCTCGTATTTTATTCAGACTACCTTTGGTAGTAAAACACCAGTACCTTTCGAAGAAGAAGAGGAGCAGTAGCCTTCGACACGGTAAACCGGGTGGTCAACCGGCCGGTCATCCGGCCGGTCATCCCATCCCAGTCGATCAGTTTTGTGGCTGTCGATCTGTTCATGTTTTTCATATCTGTCTAATCATATGTGTTCCATTTTTTTACACTGACATTATATTATTTTTGATATATTTTCTATACATTTTTGTACATCATACTATTTTCGATATAGTTTCCATACATTTTTCTCAATTCATGTTTTAATATATATTTTTTATATATTCTTCTTTCACTGTTGCAGCTATCATGCCAAGAACAAAACGAGCCAGACCCGAACGTGGTGAATCCTCAAATCCTGTACACCATCAACCACAGCAACAACATCATGACAATTTAAATAATGATTTTTTATCGTATCATTATGAACAAGCCTATTCACATTTTATTAATCGACCAATTATTACGGGAAGAAATGTAAGACTACCTTCTCAATATGACCCGCTCTTAGTTGGTAAATTAGATACAATGGGATGGCTACCTTTACTTAATTTACCAAATAAGATATATCCCCGTATTGTATGATTATTTTATGTTCACTTGACAGCTGGTGACCAACAAAATGAACCGTTCAGTCTGACCTCCTATGTGAAAGGGAAAACAATCACTCTCACTCTCCGTGCTTTCGCACAAATTATTGGAGTTCAAACAGGAGATTTACAATGCTATTTTCAAAATGAGTCTGCCTTAGAACGAATGTTTGGTGATGTCACTCAGATCTATACCACAATTTGTGACAACAAATTCAGCGACACTAATTTACTAGGCAGACATTTAAAACCCCACCTTCGTATTCTTCATCGATGGATAGTTGAAAATGTCACTCCCAAAAAAGGCCATTATGATAGTGTGTCATGTTTTAATGTGTATTTGTTATACTGTTTTGAAACTGGACATAAATTAGATTTATGCTTCATATTACTCAAAGAAATGATGATTGCAAAACTCGATACTCTGTCTGGTCGGTCACTACCTTATGGAGCTTTGTTAACCACAATTTTCAAAGCGCATGATGTCAACCTTGAAGGGGAACAATATGTCAGAATCACTTCACCAATTTCTGAGTACATACTGACCCGAGGTGGTGGTGCTGACATTTTGATGAGCTCTATTAATATTGAAAATGAACCAATACCCGATGAGGAAGAACCCAATGACAATGCCATGCCACCAAATGAACAACCCCATTACTGGACTGATTATTTGACTGTGGAACAGGAACGGTACAATCAGCGCGTACAATGGAAACAACAAATGGCTAATCAGCTCAATACATTGGGTACTCGGTTCGATGAATTTGTCGTTGCTCAAAACTCACTAATTCAACAATTTAGCGAGTTTTGTATAGACTCAGGGAGACATGATGAAGTGACAAGGAACCGCATTGATCAGATTGACTATCGAGTCACTCAGCTGTACCATCACTATTACCCTCCACCGCCAACACCACCTGATAATGATACTTAACTTGTTGAAAAATCAGTTTCAATGGTGAAACAGATGTAGTGGCTACATGTTTTTTTTTTTTCAATTTTTTTTTTTGGTTATTTATTTTCTTATTTTGTTGTACTTCTTTTATTTTGTTACTTTGTTGTAAACTTCTGTATTCATGTCATGAATAACAAGTGTTTTTTTTTTAATCATTTTAAAACAAGTTACAATGTTCAGACAATATTTACGAAAAGATTTCGCAAACAGAAAAATTATGGGCGTAGAAAAATAAATATATGTGAACAAAATAAATGTCTAACAAATCATTCATTTCAATGAAATGAATAAAAATTAAACAAATAAAAAATAATTTGTCTGTATCAATTAATACAAAAAATGAAATTAATGTTGTAAAATGAAATAAAACAAGTTTCAAGTAAATAATAAACCTTTTTTTTTTTTTTTTAGTAAAAGGAAAAAAAAAGTTAATATGAACAAAATTTTTTAAAAATAAGGTGTAAAAAGAAAAAAAAATTAAATTGATAAACCGAATTAATAACAAAACTTTCAAATTGTTACTATTTAACAAAAAGTCAAAGCCACGAATATGTCATGTACAAATATTTTTCACAAAAGTGAAAATAATAAATTGTAATTATTTTATTAATTTCAGTCATTATGAAACCTTTATTACATTACTTCACCCACCACTCAGGACCCACCACCACCACCTACCACCACCACACTCACCACTACACACCACCACTCACCCCACCACCTCTACCACCACCACCACTCACCACCACCACCACTCACCCCACCCACCACCTACTACCCACCACCCACCACCTACCACCCACCACACTCACCATCCACCTCTCACCACCACCCACCACCACTCACATCCACCACACCTACACCCACCACCACTCACCACCACCCACCACCACTCACCATCCACCTGCACCACCACCCCCACCTACCACACTCACCACCACACACCACCACTCACTACCACCACCTCTTACCATCCACAACCACCTACTACCACCACCACTCACCATCCACCACCACCTCACCCACCACCCACTCACCATCACCCTGCCACCACCACCCACCACCTACCACCACTCGCCACCACCCCCATGTACCACCACCACCAATCACACCCACCACCACCTCCTACCACCACCACCACTCACCATCCACCTGCCACCACCACCCACCTCCTACCACCTACCACCATCGATGACCCACCACATTACATAATGACTGAAAGTAATAAAATAATTACAACATTTAAAACCAGTCTCAGTACGATATTAAGTTTGCCTTGTTGACATTCATTTTCTATCCGTGGCCAACATGATTTTGCCACATAGCAGTAGCAATTGCATCCCGAACGTTCGATTTATACGTTAACCCATGTTGTGACATATCAACGTAGTCAGCTTGGTTTTCAACAAGCTCGTCTGCTTCTGCTTCTGCGGCATTTCATTATCAGCTTCCATAAATAATGGTCCATAGCTACATGCAAACGGATCCAATTGTGCACTACACAACATGCAATCACGAGAGGCCCTTGTCTTGTAGACTTGTAATTTGGCATGGACCGCAATATTGGAAGCGCTTCTTTCAGAACACCAAATGTCTTTTTATGACATTGCGTAATGACGAATGTCGATGGTTAAACAATTCTTTGGTCCTGAATAATGATGACCACGAAACTCTTGCAAGTGACATCGTTGAGACCGAAATGGGGCAAGAAATCCAGGCATGTTTGTGAACCAGCATAACTAAATAGTACTTACCTACATGTAAATAATGAATATATAGTTCTGTCAATTGATATGTGCACAAAAAAAAAAAAAAAGTGCACCATATGTTATTTGCGGACAGTTACCATTGGGTGGGTTGGGAACTGTAGATCAGCTCGTGTAATAGAGTCAATCAAAATAGCTGTGCGTGAGCGCTACCTTCCCATCCGGAATTAATAAATGTGAACAACATATCGAAGTCGCAAGCTGCGAGTACGTTTTGCGATACCGTTTGATTTCCGACCGCGGAATGTATTTTGTCTTGAAGCGGGGACCCATGCATCGACCAACGTGCCATCAATAGCACCGACACAATCCTAATTGATAATATTTATTTGACATTAAAAGCAAAACAAACTTCGATATTACTTTTATAATTTAAAAGGAAATAATATTTATTTCACATACGTTATTGATATGTACAACTTACAGGATAGCCATATTGTTCATACCTTGAACCAGGGAAAAAACCTCGTGTCATTTAAAATTTTTGCCGGTGTGTCGTCTTGGTTACGTGGCCTGATAACCGTTGATGCAAGCTTGCACAATGCCCGCATAATAATTTTTATATGCCGACAAATTGTTTCCGTGGAGTGCTGAAATCTATCTGCCAATAGTCGATGACGATCATTTTGTGCAAAAGTGTATAAAAAAATTCCAAGCGATTCCTCGACACTTATATGCATATGCTCAATATCGATAAAGCCATTGTGGAGTAAAGTGTCTTTCAATAAAATGAATGTTTGTGCATCCATTCGCATAATGTTCATCATTGTTTCTGGATGGCCAGTTAATAGGCCGAAGATGTAATCATCACCTTTGAATGGACACGTTCGCTGCGGTCGGCGAGTACTTGAGGCGTTGATTTGGTCATACATGCAAGCAATCATCAAAAAATCCATAAAATCATCAGTAACCTCATCCTCGTCTGATGAGATCTCCATTGAATTATTTTCTCTGTCGGATGACATATGGTTTTGTCTACATCACAGTAAAACCATAATTATAAAATATGTCATTAATGCTATAACACATACCATTAATGGTGAAATAGAATTAAAAAGGAAGTATATGAATAGTCGGCCGTAGTTATATTTCAGTGTACACTAAAATTTATAGAAGGACAAAATTTATTTAATACGTGCTCATATTGTCATAACACAACATAATAGATAAGAAAACATAAATTACTTAAAAGTTCAAAAAAAAAAAAAAAGCATACGAAGATAGGAAAGGGAATAGGATATCATGGAAGGAAAAAGAAAAAAAAAACCTAGTAAGGAATAATGAAATCATTTTTTAGTTCAGACAGGGAGATTTGATAACGCAATCAATGAGGAGCTTCTGACTTCACTGCAAAGCGAGGATCATGGGTAGGCGCAAATGGGTAGGAGTGCGCATAAAAAACCTTCGCCATTCCTTATCCTTGAATAGTGTCAGTGCCTTAATGTACTGCACTGGTGGTATGTCCCCAAGCTCTAGTAATGCATCTTGACATGCATCAAGAGAGTAATCATCACCACCTGCACTTACAGCCTCTGTCTCATTTTCTCGTGCACGTGAATGTCCTGTTTTTGCTTGTACATAGGATGTGAAAGCTGCGCACACATCATCAAACCCACTTGACCGTGACTTTTTAGAACGACCACTGTCAGTCTGGCTGGTTGTAGGGCCCCTCTTGTGACTTTTGCCCTTTGATGGATCCATGTACTCATCCCCATATAAGTCAACAGGAATTGCCTCAGCAGCGTTACTCCCACCAGCATTACTCCCACCAACATCAGGGTTCCAAAATTTATTTAACATGTCATCTTCTTCTTCTGAGTCAAGGGCTCCTTGTGTGGATGCACGAGATAAGGCCCCTGTGGCACAACAATTTTCAACAATTTCTGCCATTTCTTGAAAATATTCAAATCCTTTTGTCCTAAACTTCTTCACATTTCTGTTGGCCTACAACAACTACAAATAAAGAATTAAGCACTGTATGTATCATGAAATCTTTAAATTAAAATTATTTAATAGTACAGATTAATGAACAACCTTATCCCAAAATTCATCAGGTGCAACAACAGTGCCTACAATTGGATCCCATCCCAGACCAGTCTGTGCCTGGAGTCGCTTAAATGTCTGATAATCAGCTTTCAATCGCTGATATTTTTGGCGCACCTGTGTTGCTGTATACCGAAATCCATACAGATTGTGCAACTGATTTGCATAATGATTCCAATGCCTAATTGTCCACGAAGTAGTACGGCCAGTTGTTTGATTTTTTCTAACCTCATCTCTCAACATATTTATTAATTTTGTTTCACTTCTGGCTGTCCACATTTTTGTTTCTTGGTTGTCATCAGAATTATTTTCATCCATCTATAAACATACAAATGAAATTTAAACTAGTCTGGGGTAGATATACAAGACAAACAGGTCATAACAGAGCAAAATGATTTCAAAGAGAACACAGATAAAAAAAAAAACGGATGATATTATTTAAAGGAAAAAAATAGCGTAACAGATTACTTCAATTTAAATAGCAGAAATATAACCACAACTAATAAAAAAAAATCAGGTAACATTATCTTTGAATGGTAGGAGAAAACCAGTAAAAAAGATGTAAGGAAAATGGGACGGGTAGAAAATGAAGTAGGAAAAAAACCAGTAAATAAACCAGTGAAGTTGAAAAAGGGATGGGTAGGTCGACCGGCCGGATGACCCCGGGGAAGACCGGCCGGGTGTCCAGGTACAAGTTGTTCACAAGTTCTTTTCTTGCAGAAGGTTCAAACAACTCATAATTGAAAACAACAACCGATCTGAAATGAGAAATAGGCGTCGCAAATTATGAGAAACCATTTGGGAACTGATTTTAACTTCTCAAAAATTATTTATATATAACAGATTCAGATCGATTTAGCAGCTTACTGCTATTCTTCTTCGCAAAAGGTGAAACAATTCAGGAAAATAGAAAACATCTTAAAATAAAAAAAATAGTCCCTTACACTTCTCAGAAAATATTTGAGAACTGATTTCGACTCGTATAAAATCGTTTGCAGTTGAAGGATATATTTGCCAGATTAGTGGGACTTGAATAATTATCGCCGGTGATGGAATGTGTATACTGACTTAAGGTAGCACTGTTTCTTCGTCGGATTCGACAATAAATTTCATAAATTTGACCTGAAAGAAAAATAAAATAAAATAAAATTATGGATGAATTTTTCAAATCATTTTCATATAACAAAATATGTAAATAAATTTGTCAGTTCTTTTACGTCGCAGTCGTCGTTGTTTCGTTGCCCGTAATAAGAATCTTCCACAACGCACAAATCGTAAGGAACTCGATTTGTGAAAGATGATACCAGTATAGAGCGGGTTGGGTGGATTCATTATTTATAAAATCAGTCTTCTCTGTGAAGCCCACCCGTGATGAATCTGAAGTGCCTGTGATGAATCTGAAGTAGCTGAAGTACTGATGTTTGATAGACAAGCCTACCCGTGATCAATATAAAGGACTGATGTTTGATACAGAGATGAGCTTTACGTGAATATTTCAGAGACGATAGAATATTTCAGAGACGATGGAGACGACATAGAAGGACATGGAAGAATGCACAAGCGTTGAAAGTAGAGATACAACCTGCCAAACAGGTTTTCATACTATAATTTGAATTCACACGCGGAAATGTATTTTGAGTGTTCTATCCAAATGTGAAGCACGAGTTTATATGTTGAAAACTAATTTGAAAATACAACCAAACAGACCCTTAGTCTCTTATTTCATTTTTCATTATCCTAAAATATTAGTCCCTCTTTAAAAATTAAGTACAAAAATAATATAAATTTCCTATTTTGCCCTTCCTTTAAATTTATAAATAATATAAAAAGTATAATTATGATATTGATATTTCCCAAAAAATGTACAATCAAAGGGTAATTTTGGAAAATCAATTTTTTAAAAGTACAATAATTGTATTACCAAAAAAAGTTGAATTCCCCAAAAAGAACCATTATTTTGGAACGGAGGAGGGAGTATAATTATTTATTTTTTTGAATTATAACTAAAAAATGTCACATTTAAACATAAAAATAATATAACTTCATACTTTTTAAATAATAATTCAAAAAAATATACATAATTAAACACAATATAAAACATTTTAAAAAATCTTATTAATCATAACTAAAATAATAATATAATTAAAAATAATAATATAAAATCAGTATTGTTATTAACACTCCATAAATTATTTTGGATTCCCAATTTTTAGTTTTTTTTTATTACAATAATAACCTCAAATAAAGTTACTACTAAGGATATCAATCATTTTGAGACACCCCATCTCACAATTAAACTTGCATACCCACTACATCATGAATTATGGTTTATGAGAGCCCACACCTTCATTACCACCCATCTATCTTCTCCAAATCCTACATTCAAAATCTACACATTCTCAAAACTTTACAAACCCTTTGGCAGCAATATTCTGACAGTAACGGTAACAACCATGTAATTACCTACATTGAACCGTTAAAACATGGAAATTTTTAACACATACTTCTTCAAGTGGGTAAATTTTTAACCATTTGATTACCTAATTAAAGAAGAAGAAGAAGAAGAAGAAGAAGAATGGGTAAATTTTTGCTATTTGATTACCTAATCAAAGGTTTTGAGAGTGGGTAAATTTTTAATATATTTGAAGAAGAATGAGGGTGGGTAAATTTTTCAAACTGACAAAGACAATATTCTTCTTCTTTTTCTTCTTATTTGTGAGTTTTGAAAAGGATAAGACCCTTCTTCTTTTTAGTGTGTTTTGTAAAGATTTTTTAGAAGGGATGATTTTTTAGGGGATATTATCGATGTGGAGGTGTGGAGGGTATACATTCAATGGGAGGAATATTTAAAGAATAATTTTGGTATTATTTAAGAGGAAAAGAAATTTTAAAAATTTTAAAATTTATAAATGAAGGACCAAAAAAAATGAAAATTTTTAAATAATTTATAAAGTATTAATAGCATTACTCTATAAAATACATATGATATATCCGGGTGTATATATTAAAATATCTTTTAATAACTTTTTATTTATTTATTTATTTTTTTGTCGTATGCCTTTGATGACTTTAATGAAAGGAAAAACGCAGCCAGGTATTCCTGGAAAAAGGAGAAAGAGAGCGATAGGGAGAGAGAGAGGAGAAACTTTCACCTATTAGGCTTTTCGAAGCCTTTTTGCCGAAAAGTGTCCGCCTCGTTGGTTTGGGCCCTTGTGTTTCTCGAATTAAATTGAGTGGGATTGTTAGCGTGAGAAACGGGAGTGAAAAAATTATTAGTAAAAAAATTATAAAGTTATTTGAAATGATATAGATAAGTATATTTTTGATTTTTTTATAAAGTATGAGTTGTGTTTGAAATGATGTGATAGAAAAGTGATGTAACTTAAATAAAATGATATGACTTAAATAGGATAGTGACTTTTTGACTTTTTTAACTTTTGTAGGTTATGAAAAATAAGGCCTAAGATAAATTATATTTATTTGATGATCAATAAATTAAGAAGAATTCATATTTGTTTTGTCATTTTATGATGATATTAACTATATAAAATTTCATAAATACCTTTATTATTTTTTGATATATTTTAATATTAAATGGTATATTTTATAAATATATATATTTTTGGGTACTATATTATTTTTTATATAAATTTTTTTGATATAAATATTATTATACTATTATATTTTAATATTAAAAATTAATTTATATTAAATTATTTTGATATAAAGAATGGTGGGAGTTAAAAATGGTAAAATAATTTTAAAAAATAATGGAGGAAAGGCCATACCAACTAAGAGGAATAGTAAATTATGTAGGACAATAAGAGGGCAAAATAATAAATTCCCCTCTAATTTCAAGAGATTTTTTTTGCAATACTAATCCTCTAATTCATAATTTCATAGTCCCAAAGAATTAATAATACCGACCTCTACTTTATAAACAAATAAAATTTTAGTAATTCCAACCTCTATCTTAATCCAATTCCCTCCTTCACAACCCAAAACAAAAGGTGCCTTGAAATCTACGAATAACAGGAGAGAATACTCTGAGTGAGAGAATAGTTCAGAATTATATTGGAATGAAAAAACGTGTTGGGTTCCGGTTTTCTAAACTCATTTTTTTTGAAAATTTTAGAGTTTTTGTTTGGTTAAGTCTAAAAATAAAATAAAATAACGTTTTCAAATTTTTTTTTTTTGATGCACACTTGGGTAATAGAGATGTGACTTGTTATTTTTTGTTTTTTTTTTCTACTTTTTTATTGTGACTTGTTCTCTTTTATTTTATTTTTTATTTTTTTAATATTTATTTATTTATTTATTTTGGGTGCTATTGAATGGTTCCAGCAAGTTGACCGAAAGTCTAATGTGGCGGGATTTTGAATTTTATGTTGACCCAATATTCAATGTGGAGGGATTTTAAATTTAAAAACAAAACAAAATTCAAAAATATTTTTGTATTTGATATTGCAAAAGTTTGTAAGTTGGTTACTTAATTTTTTTATGCCAATTTTGTGATTAAATTACTTATTTTGCAATCAATATCACGAAATTTTATGATAAAATTACAAATTTTATGGTAGAATATGCACCTATAAAAAAGTACGTACAGATACGTACTGAATTATTTTTTAATATATATACAATATATATACATAATAATACTTTTAATATGACAATAATTTTTTTTAAAATTTATTATTGAATACGTCATAGTCTGCCTTCTCTCTCGATGTGGATGGAGGAAAATTTATATTACTTTGCAATAGTCTAACTTTTAAAAATCAGACATACATACATTTTCAAAATATAATTTTTAAATCACTTTTTTAAAAAATAAATAAAAAAACTATGACTAAGGCCAAGTTTGGAGAGACTAAATAAGTGTACTTTTTGACTTTTTTTTGTATTATGTATTGAAAAAATAGAGAAGAGATGTTGATTAATATAACCCAAAAAAAATAAAAAGATAAAATAAGTACACTTTTTTAGATTAGCCAAACTTGAGCTAAACATAATTAATAGTCTCCTCGTTACAAATTGGAGCAGCAGCCGTCACCTACGTCACCGCTTACGCCAAATTTAATATTATTATAATTAAGTCAAATTCAGATTTCATTTGAAATATGGATTGACTTTTGACTTTTTAATTATTTTTTGATTATTTTATACTAGAACTAAAATAGTCTTGTTTGTAATAAATTTTGATTTTTTTAATTTTTATATAAAAAAAATAATAATTATGATTTAATATGATAACTTTTAACCTAAAACTTTAGCTCCAACCCACCCCTAACCCACATGCCAAACCAATGTTCAAA